GTTGTGTCCTAAAGGCTATACCTTACTACTTCTGTTTATTCCTCTTGGGGTATCATAACATAGCCTACAGCACAATTTTCTTCTGAAAGCAGCATGAGCTCTTGTTAGCTTGGTGGCAGAGCTTGTTGCAAGTAGTGGGAAAAGCTGGCAATCCAGATTCAGGCTAAGAAAACTATCCCTTACCTTATTTTGTGACTTTCTCCAAGCTGTTTAAGAGAAGATGTTTTAAAACTGTGTGAAATCCAAGCAGCTTATTAATCTTGATTAGTTGGTGTCTTTCAAGTCTGAAATTATGCAGCAGAATGTCTATGTAGGTACTGCTATGTATTTCTATGGGAGCCACCTCTTCAATGTCCTGTTGCATTTGATCAAAGTACAGTGTGTGATGAACCATGGTATTTACTGCAGCCAGCCCTACACTGTAATGAAAGCTGAGCATACACAGAGCATGTCTTGCTTCAGCATTATAGCTGCTTTTGAAGTAGCTAAGAAATTTCCTAGTTACCTCAGAGGAACAGAATGAGTCTGCCTGGAAGCTTCCAATATGGAGGGAAATGTGCAGTTTTTGTGTAAGACTGGTTTGAAGATCTGCCTGTAGCTGGCTATGCCTTTTAAGGACTGAAAGTTCTGTTGTTGTGTGTTGGGATTGACTTGTAAAATGTCAGTACTAAAATAGTCTCGTATTTGATCCCCAGAGTTCTCAGAACTAACTGTAGTTAAATGAAAACTTAAAATCTGCCTCAAACGTTATATGCTTCTGGCTACTACTTTGCTTCTAGTTGTCTTAGATTGGAGAGGTGGAGGGATGATAGCTAAGTGCTGTTGAAACTCATGTCCTCTCTCTGTTACAGTGGCTGTTTGGAGCGGAGTTAACGTGGCAGGTGTTTGTCTCCAGGAGCTGAATCCTGCCATGGGAACTGACAAAGATGCTGAGAATTGGAAGGATGTCCACAAGCAAGTGGTTGAAAGGTACAGTGACTTGGGGAATAAGGTGATACGTGTAATGCTGAAAAGATCTAGTCTGCACACCGGCTCCTTGTTGCTGCCTCTCCATTCTGATGCAGTTTTTGTGCCCTTTTATTCAGAGGGTTGCACAAGTAAGTGCAACTACTGGTTTAAATACAGGATTGTAGTTAGTAAACTTTCTTGTCCTGCAGCAAGTTATTGTGTAACATACCTGCTTCAATAGTGAAGCACTTAAAGCTGTGTGCACTTTTTCTCTCACAAGTAGCTTCTTAAATGTTAACTTTGTTCAAAGGGCACAAGATTCAAAGGAGAAGTAGTATGTTTCTGTCAGCACAGCATTGGAGTTGTTTGGGAAATCACTTGTCTTACTTGTGAAATAAGGACTATGTTGGTATAAAGTGTGTGCAGATGTTGCTTAAAAAATTAGGATATGTGTTTAAGTAGTGCATGGCTTAGACTCCAAATGTTACCTGTTCCAAATGCACTCAGAATGATTGTGCCATTAACTTGAACTTTTCAAATAAGAGTAGAGCTTCTTTATTATGTTGATGGGATAATGTAGGCTCTGATTTATCCTGTCATGCTGAAACAAGTCATCATTTTACTTTGACATTTTAATCCCAAAACTTACAATGTGTGTCACAGGAGCTTAAGCTTTTTTTTAAAATGGGAAGCAAATTCATTTAAGATTTAGCATTCACACGGTGTCTTTAAGTCATCTTGATGCACTGTATTTTAATATTTCCTTAGTGCCTATGAAATAATCAGACTCAAGGGATACACAAACTGGGCTATTGGCCTTAGTGTTGCTGAGCTCTGTGAGACCATGCTGAAGAACTTGTGCCGGATTCATTCAGTCTCAACACTGGTAAAGGTAAGAAGTGGTGGTTGATTCTGTTGCTCTAGTACAATTTTTTTTATGGAAAAGCTAAATAGTCTCAATTAGCAATTGCTGAATAAAAAGCTTTGTGAAATACTACTTAAAATGAGAGCTTACTGTTGCAATTTTTTCTAGTCTGACCTCTTAGCCTGCCCTCCTCATGGAGCTGAAATTGTGCTCTGTGCTCTACCCAATGTTGTACTGCCCTTGTGTGAAGTTTGCCATATGTGCCATGCAGGCTCATTAAAAAGTTGCAGTGCCAAAATGGAAAGCTTAATGGAGGCCCAGCTGCAATTTTATGGACCACTGTCTAGCAAAGGTACTGAGGAAGAGAACTCGGTCCTTTTATTGCTAGTGTAACTGGGAGCATCTAGTCTGTATCAGGTCTATTAACCTTTAGTGCAGCATGAACTCTGAACGGGCTCAACTTCCCCCTCTGTGGTCAGAAAAAAGACCTTGCCCTATTACTGTGTCTTTGAATTTTGTTGGCCCTTTGCTGTGTACAAATGAGGGCTTTGGAGGTGGGTCAGCCATCTCAGTGTTGCAAATCACACAGTCTAAAACAGCTCTGCATTTTTTCCTCATACACCATGACTAAAAATGGAATTTCTTACAGGCTGCAAAATGATAAGCTCTGGTCTTGGAAGGTTTCCTGCTAATAAACTAAAAGCAAATCTGGGGTGATGGGTTCATACCTGAGTGACTTCTTTTGTTTGTGGCAGGGCATGTATGGCATTGAGAACGAGGTCTTCTTGAGCCTTCCTGCTGTCCTAAGTGGCTCTGGATTGACAAGTGTCATCAACCAAAAGCTGAAGGATGATGAGGTGGTTCAGCTGAAGAAGAGCGCTGATACATTGTGGAACATCCAGAAAGATCTCAAAGATCTGTAACTCATGAATGTTAATTCCAGCAATAGAAAAAGTGTGTTGTGTGCAAATGTGGGCTCTACTCATTATACATCTGTGGTTAACATTTAATGCTCTTCCAAGACTGAGTTTTGTCCACAGTAGCGAAACTTATGCTTGCTGTAACGCACAGACCTTCTGAACAAATAAAGCAACTTTCAGGCATCTTTTGTCCTAGTGATTATTTGCAGTATTTAAGTTGTGTACCTAACTTCAGCATTCTTCTGTGATGTTTGCTATAGACTACATGGGAGTATAGACAAAAGTGTCCTAAAAGGTTAGAAACAATGTTGTAATCACCTGTGGTGGGATTTCACTAATACAACCTGGAATCCTTTTCTGTATCATTTTGTTTCCATTCTGATGCTGACCAATTGTCAAATCCCAGACTTGGTTCTGGTACAGTGCTGCCTTTTTTTTTTTTTTTTTTTACTGATGGGTAGAGGAAAATGAATGGGAATTTGCTTCTTGGCCACCTGCTGAAAATATGACACTAAGATTTTTGTATGTCACTGGCCTAAAAATGGTCCTGAGGATCTTTTTTCTCCTATATGCAATTATTTGCAAAATCCTGTTTATAGAATATGGCCTTTTTGTCTCAATTTCAGCATTATTGTTTCATCAGTGCCTATATGCTGGGGGTAGAGAACTGAGTAAAAAAAGTTGTTAATCACTTAAAATTAGAGTAGATATTAACCATAAAATAGCTAGTACTTGCTTGATGTGCATAGAACTGCTCAACCTGAATGTACAGGGACAACAGTTGGGAAGTCTTTATTTTTCTATTGAAATTCAGAAGCCTGCAACTCTTCATAACCAATGCTCTTAAGATGAAGTTTGAGGAAATTTAAAGGCCTTTTCTAGCTCCATTTCAATACTGAGTAGTGAACTAAAATACTTTTACAAGCAAGTAGCTTAATTTTTGTAGCTCCTCTTAAAATGAAAGATCATGCAAGTTCTGTTGCAAGGCAACTCCTTTGATTTAGTACATGTAGTTAGTGAAATACCATGCAAGGGATGCTGGTGGCAGCATTATTTACAAAGGGTACCCCAAGAGGAGCTTGGCAGTTTTATGCCAGATACTTTTACTGATAGGAGAGGAAAAATAAGTCACTGCCTTCATAACTTGGTGTGGAGATCTTACTGGAAGGCTTTCTACACCTGGGTAGATGAAGTTCCTGCTAACAGCTGCTCATTACCAGCTGTCATGAGCTAATGAGCATTAGCTGCTGCTGTTTGCTGGACACACCCATTAGCAATCTTCACCTGAGCACATTCAGCTGGTCACTTTGCACAGTTCTGTACTGCCTTTGTTTGTTCTTATGCTGTTCTCAGTTAATGAAACTGCTCCAAGCCATGTTGTGGGACACTATCTTGTGGGATTCTTGAGACTGATGAGCATGAAGAGACATCAGTTGTCTCAGAGGATTTTTCCCTTCTAACAGTGATCAACAATTCTTTCAAGATCATTTGGCTACAATAAAACTGGGTTTTGTCCCAGTGTGCATTCCTCACCTGTTAAAGTGTAGGGTCATACCTTGCTCTATGAGATCCAAAGTAGGTTGAGACGTCCTGAAAAGAACATGGTAATCGGTGCTTGAGCTGGGAAGCTGCTGTCACCTAGTGTCTGTAAACTGCTGCTTCAATCCCTTCTGAATCCACAGAGGTGGGGTTTTTGCTAGTGATCATAGTCTGAATAACAGTACATCATCTTTTGTGCCTAGATATTAAGCAGCCAGAGAGTTAATTAACAATCTCTCCTACGAAAAAAATAGTGTGGTCTGTTCCAAAAAAGAGTGAGTGGATACGAAGTAGGGAACTGAAGGTACGAGTTACAAACCCTGGTTTGCCTGATGAGCGTTTTTCTTAGCACATCAGCAGCCTCACTGTACCAACTTTAATTTTGAGGAGATGACATAATGAAAGAAAGTTCTAAGAAATTTCAACAACACTGAAGAGTCCTTGTGGGTCTTCTGGCAGGCTGGTCCAAAATGTAAAAGGAACGAGTACCTTAGGCTAGTGCATTTTGCCATTTTATAAATAGGTTATTCTGATTTTTTATTTTTTTTTCATTTTGGTGATATTTATAAGCCCTATGCAAGTACCTTATTTTTTTATCATTATAGTACCTTAATTCTATTTATTTTTTGTTAGGAGTCTTATCAAACAATATTGTACCTCAACTTCATTGCAGTCACATGGCTGCAGAATAGCTTCCCTATATGCTTGTACAACACCAGCCTATCGCTTTCTATTACTTGGAGTCTATCCATATTACAGTCTCATATCAACCATATCAATTCCTTAATAACTATATTGCCCTAGTATTTTATCTCTAAAAGATATCTGGGTGTTTTTTTCCTGAACATAATAGACTCACATTTATCTTGTGTGTGCTTTGTACAGCCCATTGATACACAAACTTTGCTCTCGTTTTATCCCATGAGAGACAATACAGGTTTTAACCACATTCCTATGTGTCAAGAGGTACCTCTGTCACTCCGTGGTCTAACAGAAAACGTTGTGGCACTGTTGGAGGGAGTAGTACAGCCACTAAGAAGCAGCACAGCAGAACACTTCAGAAAGAGGTGAGGACAACTTGCTCTACTCACATGAGGTAAGACCGGTAATGTTATTTTAATCTGTGTGAGGACCTAGATGCCCTTGCATTTGCAAGGTACAGAAATCCAGCCTATGGAATAGAAAGCCCTGGTCAGACTACCCTGCAAATGTCAGACAGGAGACAATCAGATAGTGACAGGTAACAGAGACAGGAGGGATACTACTGGCATGGTTGTGCCAGAGGATCAGAACACACTCAGCCTGCTGAGTTACGCTCAGCCTCAGATATGTGCTCTTACTCATGGTTTTGTACCGAGGCGTTACAAAGAAATGCATACAAAGGAGAAAGAGACTGAATTTTTCACTTGCACATCCAGAACGCTGAGACAAATGAGCAGCATCCTCTGCTTCATTATCAGTCTGTGTAGCAACTGTCAGCAAGCTCAGTAAAACAATAGTGCTGTTAGTGGTAATGAGCCAGCACGCGAGCAAGAGGTGGGCTTGTTCTGAGCTGAGAGGTGGTGTTAAATCAGCTGCTTTTTTAGTAGTCAAAGGATTAAAATGGGGCAGGGAGTTGAAGGCAGGTTTAAACAGTAAAACAGTGTTAAGAAGAACATGTAGGGGTAGAGCAGAGGAAATGTTTTATGCATGTTTTGCTAGACTAGTAATGCTTATAGACTTTATTACTAGCTAACTTAGAACAGTGCTTTATGGTGAGTAGGTGATGTGTCTAAATTGCTCACAGAGTTCCTGTTATCCTTGTATTTATGCACTTTATGTCAGCCTTGTCCTGCAAAGAAATGCTGTTATCTCCAATTTGAAGATATAAATCAGAACAACTAAGCTATAAATTCTCAGTGGAATATGGATGCTGAATTCTCACTGATGCCAGCATGATCAGGAGCCCAAAAACATTTAAGAGTCAGATCCTTATGTTTTGGTCCAGAATGAGACAATGCCATAGTTTAACAGCCTCTCAGGCCAATGAATAATTTTGGGCATTTCATCTATGAACAGTTCTCTACTGCACATCTGTGAATCCAGCTGTAAGTAAGTAAAAACTTTCAAAGCTTTTCATAGATTACAGTAGTCAGGGTCTTCCTAAAATCCACACCAATCATTATGATGTACTACAATTTTATAAACTGTTCTTGAGATACCATTGCTATGTGAGTTATTCTGTGCAAGCAAAGAAGTTGTGCAAATAATTAACTTAGACTGGTCTATTGGAGAGGTCAGACTCAGGAGGGCTGGATTTGTTCAGTGTGTGAAATGAGTCATTTACCTGCAACCATAAACAACAATGCAGTTTGGCCCAGGCTTTGGTGATACAAAGTAAGATTTTTGAGTAAACATTTTCTCCCTTATGCTGTGCTCTTTAATAGCTCTTCAACATTACTGAGATGTGTTTACGCATTCAATAGCTGAGGTAAAAAATCCAGGTTTGTCAAAACAGCATGAAGGTGAATTCCTACCAGCATTAACTTCTGAAAAGGAATGTAAGTAATTCTTGCTCTGTGATATGTGTTAAGAGAAAGCAAAGGGAAGAAGAAAGACATTTTGCCTGAGATACAGTTTTCTCTGTGCTGTTAATTCTGTGTTTCAGACAAGAATCATGGAATTGTCAGAGTTGGAAGGGACCTCTAGAGATCATCTAGTCCAACTCCCTTGCTAAAGAAGAAAATGCAAAAGATAGAAATGCAATTATTTCCAAACACTCTGTTTATTAAGCAGCCTCCACCCACAGTAGATACTGGAAAACTCTCCTAGTATCACTTGGAGAGTATGTGTTTACCTTCAGTTCATTTTACTGAGTTTGTTTTCCTCATAGCAAATTGTTGTCCAGTAGAAGCAAATACGTATTTTTAAAATTACTTCTATGCTGGGCTGATTATGAATGCTGCAGTATTTTTTTTTTTAAAGAGGAAAGTCAGAAGAAGAAAAAAACATCTCTTTCCACATGCTTCAAGGACATTTAAAGTCAGTAGATTGCTTCTCAGACAGAAAATAAGTTAAGACCAGTCACCTTAGATCAAATGCCTTTATCCTACTGAATAGGATTTATGCTAAAGTGGTTTGTTGAATAAGGTGAAATTTCAACATGTTAAATTCCAACCTTAATGCTGATCATGGGATAACCTGTTTTTTATTAAGTCTTTACTACACTGAAAGTCCTTAGTATACTCACCTAGCTGAATGAATGGAAATGCCTCTTTCAGCACTACATCTTTGAGTTTGCAGCACAGTCTTTCAAAGCACAGAAACCTTTGTTTGCAGGCAGAGAAGTAAAATGATGCAGTCCTGGCTACTTGAGGAGATGCAGATAAGCTCTGTGAGGCTGAGCTGCCAGTCCTGGTAACGATTCCTCCAAGGTCACACCAGGTAAAAGAGATGAACTAAGGATTCATACCTAGCCTGAACTTGTTAGCATTTCTAAGCAAAACCAAACCAACAAAACCTACCCAACAAACAAAAACCACCAAAACCCCTCAATGAAACAAACAAACAGAAAAACAACCAAAAAAACCCGAAAACACAAAGAGCTCTCTTTGATGTAACAGAAAGGATGGATAATTATTATGAGAAGAGGAATAATGAGAAAAA